TGTGACTTGATATCTACGTATTTAAAAGACATTTAATATTTGAGTGAAGGAAGTGAATTACAGTAAATCATTATGTCGAGCACAATTACGGTGCACCCAAACTCATTTCTTCGACTGTTTTAAGAAGCTAGAGCAAAATGGAATCATTGAACATCTATTTACAAGGTAATAACAATTAAAATAATAATAAACTTTTAAAGTTTATTTGGCTTACGTTTTTGTTTTAAACTTTCATAACTCTTTTAAACATTTATTAACTCTGTTAAGAAGCACGATCGCGTTTCTCATAAGACTTTTCATAAGTATGCATTAAATGCTACGAGCTCGATAGCGCAAATAAAATTATTAGAGAAATTTTTGTAAAAGTGAGAAATTGGACAATAATTGCGTCTTACAAATATTATAATGCCTATTGACATACAATTAAGTCTAATAAGTATTTCAAATACGTCAAATTATAAGAAACGCTCTTAGAATTCGATGTACTGAAATAATTGTTTGATTTGTATGTCAATAATAGTTTTATAATGCTTATCGCATGTAATTATTGTCTAATTTCTCTCTTTTGTGATATTTCTCTAATAATTTATCAATGTAATTGAAAAACAATGCGATACTTAAATTGTTTAATATTCATTTTAATTTTATCATTCTAATTTATAATTTAACAAAATTAACATATTTAATGTGAAAGACAAGAAGATAGTGTGAGGGAAAAAGTAAGAAAAACGTGTTTTTATAAATGTGTGAATGCGTCCGGTCAGTGTGCTCCCTGCGCGTAAAGCGCACGTGAAAAGCAACTAACCGTGAAAAGCGCCGCTCCTGTTTGTCTCCTGTACGTGGCTCGTGACACGCTAATTATTTTTTCTTGTAGTTTGAAAAGTAGTCTTGTAGTTTTTAGATAAAATTTTCGCAAAGAAAAAATTGTCTTATAATTAAGTCTTATAATTAAGTCAGGAATATGACACTTCAAGGACAAACGTTTATTCTGAATCACTCTGTATATCTCACTATGCATATACTTATATTAAACAAGCAAAACGGAAAATGAATAATCAAAATATAATAATGAAAGTAAATTATAGCATTATAAGTAGGTGGAAATAATAAAGTACGAGGCACAAACAATATTGTACAACATTCGATTCTTATTTTTATTTTGAAACATCAAAGTTTTCCGACGTTCAAAGTCAGTCAGCAGCACGACAAATCATTGACAAAACGACCGTTGATTATTATCGATTCATAAAGCATTCCCGCGATGGCAAATCCCCCTTCCTTTCAAATTCATCAATTTGCGTATCGACGGTATATTCAGGCTACAGTTTACGCTATCCTCATTGATCGTCATGTAAATATTTTCGTCGAATATCTCGAGTGTAAAGTACGTTAAAACGAATTACAATTGGTAATATTAAATAGTAAATAATTTTGGTTTAGCCATGGGCGCTGGGAGAATTACTTGCAGGAAAGTGCACCCAGAAGAATTCAAATTCAAAATATTTTTAAACAGCCAAGACGATTTAAATTTTTGTTCCAACATAATTTTTTTTTAAATTGATTTGTTAAAATTTTATTACAAATGTTAATTAATGTTTATGCATTTAGTTTCTGTTTAATTGAAAAAATTATTTTTCATATTACGCGATTTTTTTTCCTGAGGATTTTCTATTCCTCTCATTTTTAATGAGATAGAAAGGTATAAATGCACCTCCTTGTATGCTCTTCGCGGCACCCATGTTTAGTACCGTTTTCCGACGATGTTTTTGAGACGAACAGCGCAAATCGAGCTTTACTTGGCCGATTCGCGAAGCGCAAATCTAAAGCGATGCGTACATTGACAACATTCATTGATCTAAAAATGTCTTCGACATTCGAGAGTAGGAAAGAAAAGTAGGAAGAATTTGGAGTACCGAAGACTCCGATTTATTATCTTATTTTCACTCTCTTACTCTCACTCACTCGCTCACTCACTCACTCACTCACTTACTAATTCACTCTCTCTCTCTCTCTCTCTCTCCCTCTCCCTCCCTCCCTCCCTCCCTCCCTCTCTTTTCCCCCTCTTTCTCTCCCATTCTCCTCCCTTCTCTTTCTCTCTTTTCTTTCTCTTTTGAGCATACTTTTACTTCCATATGTCTTCTATCATATCTATCATATCATTATTTTTCGCATGCGCGTATTCTCTACATTCTTGTCTTTCTTTGGCACAAAGTCATCCGGCACTAAGTAGCTTAGCGGTGACCAGCAGTGGATGCCTTCTTCACCGTGGCCAGAGTATCGGTATGAAGAAAAACATCGATAGGATGTGCGACAAGCTGCTACTTCCGTAGAAACTGCCGACGCCGCTGCTGGCACCAGAACTTTGAGCAGCTTCAGCTAAACCTAGAAGAAAATTATACCTTTTTTCTAAAAAAAAATGCGTAATCGATAGCGGAATCATAACTGCGGAATCGCAATTGCGCTACTGTGAATCAATCGGGCGCTGAACCTTATCGAAACAAACAACAGGATTGAATGCTTGTGAGTAGTAAATCTGCTATATATACATACCACCGATAATGGATACATGATCCTTCACTCGAGATCCTCTTTCAAAGCCAATTTTAATTTCTGAAAATGGACATTATGTAAATTTAAAAACCTTAAAGTATATACCATAAAAGGCGTATAACATAACTGGCAGGTATAACTCACCATACAATCTCAAAGTGCCGTCTGCTTTTCCTAGGCTATTTGTTGAAACGCATTTGTAACTACCGACATCTCTATCCGTAAATTTTTTGATTAAAAGCCACATCAGGACCGTGTATCCCGTTCGTTCCTCCCGCACGTTGTATTTCGGTCTACAAATCATACAAATATTATGTTAAGTATTAGAACATTCTAGAATTAAAAAGAAAATATTAAACAAAAAATAGAAGAAAAATAGAAGAAAAGAAATAGAACTTCCGGTACGGATGTACAAGTGAGAAGTAAAGCGATACTATAGTAGCGAGAAAAAACTGAAAAGGAGATAATTCGACGATAAAGAAACGTGAGTGCACAAGGAATAGTGAGAGGCAAGGAGAGTTTCTTTGGAGAAATGGAGTGTAAGAGCACAAACAGAGAAAGTAGAGAAGGAAATCCTGGAAAGAAAAGAGGGGTTAGAACCAGAGCGTACATAAAGCGTGGAATAGGGATATATAGAAGTTGCTTTCCAGTAAGGACATAATCAGATACAATGTAACACAGTGAATCATTACATCCTTGTTGTTTGCCTACGTTAAACAAGGATGAAACAATTCATTGTATCTAATTGTGTCCTTACTGGAAAGTATCCAGAGACTAGAGAGGAGACCTTCGGCAGCAGGTCCGCCGGAAGGTGTGCTTCGATCGACGAAAAAGTAGAGACATAGTATGTTCCCGCACACAAAACACGGCAACGCTTGCCGCGCGGTAGAAGTTATCGCATTAATCAATAATTCTATGTTCTTAAGTTAGTCTCATGCAAAACTTTTAGAAATGATGTAATATTACTTCCGCCGCGCGGCAAAAGTTGGATTGAGTTCAACTTTTGTTACGCGGTGGAAATGATATATCTATTACTTCCGAGCAAGCGAGACTTAATTGGCTATCGCACCAACTTCCGCTGCACAGCAAGCGTTGCCACGTTCTACTTGCGGGAGTTCTAAGAGATATGCGAACTCCAAGTATTTGCAAGAACAACGACCTCCATGATTTGTCATGTGATTGTATGTTTGTAAGTACAAATTACTGAGTTTAGATAATAATGGTTCAATGTCATTATAAAATATTATGCCACATAAGTAATATCGTAAAATTGATGTGATTATTGAAAATATTGTATCGTAGACGTATTCCTAACCTACAATATACATGACTTTATAACGCATAAGTAAATAATTAAAGGTGATATCTTGAAAATAATAATACTGAGTACCGTCTGCGGTACCAAATTGCGTGCCAAATTGTAGAAATTCAGGGATTTCTTATGAAATATTTTTCAAAAGATCTGGAAAGAATGGACTGTGAATATTCCACGAGCGAATTGGATACCCATAGATTCTAGTTATACTTATGAGGTACGGTATTTATGTTTGCCGCGTCTTTACTTGTGTGAGTAGGAATAAAATACGGTTGCACCATATTGGTTCTACCATATCCTTGTAACATTGCTATCAACCAATCCCGTCGTGACTTCAGTTCGCGTATCTCTTACTTGAGGATCTCTACGAAGAGGCAGCGGACGAGAAGGCACGGAGTAAGCATAGAGAGGAAACTCGGAGGACGATTGACAGCAGGAAAACGTGATGTAGAAGAAATATAAAAAGTAGACTCAAGCAGACCTGACAAAAAGTGCTCAGCAGAGAGAAGCAGGCAAAGGGAGAAGTAAATAGAAGAAGTGAGTAACATTGTATAGGCATATATGAAGACATGGGTGGAGACATGGGTGGAGCAGGATAAAAAGAGATTACTGAAAAGATATAATTGGAGACACCAATCGACAAGAAGGAAGAATGAGAAAAAAAGAGGACAATAAAACTGGAAGGAAAAAAATGGAGGATCGTCATGATCTATATAAAGGGAGATATAAAGAAAAAAATAAAAAAGCCAATGGAAAAATCGGAGATAGAAGAAAGAAATGAGGAATACATTTTAATAGGCAGAGATTTTAATAGAGGAAAGAGGAAAGGAGAGGATTAGCAGGAAAAGGCGAGGAAAAGAAGATCAAAGAACAAAAAGGTGAATAAGGATGGAAGAAATTTGCATAAAAAAGTGTTGAAAAGGAAGGATAGGGAATAATGAATGGAGCGAAGCCAGGAGATGAAAAAGGAGAACTAAAATATATAGATAATAAGAATTTTATTGAACCATACATTTGAAAATTCAACAATACAAAAATAATTATGAATGAAATGATCGGTCAAACTTAAATATTTAATGCTTAAATAATTTAATCTGAATTACTGTATATACTATATTTATATATTTGCATATGTATCATATTTATAGTCATTCGAACTTCGCGCCGAATTGTATTCCAGACTTATAAACGCAATCGAACTACTGTAGTAGCATCATGAATTAAATTGATAAGTAATTTTAATAATTTTGATGCTCAATTAGACATCATATTAAAAACATATTAATATGGTGTAAAAACTGTCAATCAATTTATTGCGAAAAATATTATTTCGGCCAGAAGTCGAACTCGGATCTCTTGTATGACGTACAAGCGTCCTAAGTCTTTAGATTAAAATATATATATGTAGAGGAGGGGAATGGGTGATTGACTGTGTAATGAAGAATAAAAAAGGATGGGGAGAAGTGACAAGATTGGGGATGGAGGAGTGGGTCAAGTCGGATCATCAGCAGGTATGGGTAGCGGATGGCGTAATAAAGGCAAAGAGGGAAAGAAAAAGGAAACAGAAGGAGACGAGAAAAGTAATGGATTGGTCGGAGGAGGGAAGAAGGAGATATAAAGAAAAACTGAAGGAGATAAGAATGGAAGAAGGTAATTTAGAAACAGAAAAGGAATGGGAGCAATGAGGAGTATAGAGAAAAGAAGAGGGAAATAAGGAGAATGCTGAGGAAAATGAAAAGAAGGAGAGGAATATATACAAGGAAAGAAGAGATATAAAGAATTGTGTAATAGGAAAATGAAGGAAAGCAGAAGAGAGATTGTTGGAAGAGGCAAGGAAAACGAAAACGGAAGCGGATGTTTGGAGAGTAGTAAGTAGAGAAAGAAAGAGATGGAATGACGAAAGGAATTAAGACGGAGGAATGGAGAAAACACTTTATAAGGTTGCGGTATGGAAGAGAAAGGAGAAGAGAAACGACAAGAAAACAGGAAGAAAAAAGAGAGTTGGAGGGGGGGGGGGAGTCTGAAGATACAAGAGATTAAAGGCCAGTATTCATAATCGGATCTTATATTTAGATCGTCTTAAGCACAATCTTAAAATGTCATGAACCAATCAAAGAGCTGCATTAACATCTTAAGACATTACTTAAGAGAGTCTTAAAATAAGAACCGATTATGAATACCGCCCTAAGTGTCCAACAAAAGAATTGAAGAAAGAAAAGGCAGCAGGAGAAGATGAACTAATAAATGAAATTTGGATATACGGAGGGAGAAAAGGTGAAAGAAGTGATATAGAGAACATGAGAAAGTATGGGAAGAAAGAAGAATATCAGAAGGATAGAAGAAGGGAATAATAACGTCCATAACGAAAAAGGGAAGAACAGAAGAAGATGCTAAGAGCCAAGAGAAGGTTTAGAGAAGAGAGAGGAACAATAGAAAATGTACCAATGATGAACCACGTGATAAGCAAAGAAACGAAGAAAAAAGGAGGAAAGGGGATAGCATACTTTGTGGATCTGAAGGCGACGTTCGATAATGTTGAGAGAGGAGAAGTGTGGGAAGTGATAGTGAAACGAGAAATGAGCAATAAACTGAGGAAGAGAATTGCAGGGTTATATAAAAAAAAATAAGTGTAAGCATATGCAGGCTTCGAACAATTACTACGCTAACTTACGCGATGGAGTTAGATGTCTTTAGATACTCCTTGCAACTAGTTTATAAACTGGCTCGATAGATAATAAAAAAAGAAGTTTGAAGATATGAAAATTGTTTGCTTTAGATTTAACACCCTGTATCTTTTAAATAAATTGATCAAATTTAAAAAATCAAACGTAAAAATGTAGGGAATTGAAAAACCTTCCTAATAACATATCATTTGATTCCCATTTCCATTTGAAATTTTTTAGAGATTCCCACCCCTGCTTAGGGGGTTGAAGTTGAGCGTAAGAATTATACGTCAAAAGATGTCCCCCTCTCAATAGAAGTCGATATGTTTTTACGTTTTTTCGAAAA